TGAGCTGCAGATGTAGTTCCAACAGTTCTTATAATCTTTCTTATTTGTTTCTATTTCGAGCACTACCTGTGCAGCCCAGGTTCAATTTTTAACTACTCTTAGTTCATGCTAAAATGAATAAGATAAGAAATAAAAATATACACCAAAAATTGAGGATAAAATTGGGTCATGTTTATGTCAACCGAAAAAGGCCCATGTTCACAAGGGCGAAATGATTTCATTAGAACAAGTTAGAAAAGGGAGGGATACAACAAAATTAACAAGTATTGTTGTGGTTGCTAAGAATCTAGTGATGAAAAGAATGGAATGGAAAATAAGGATTCATGTAGCTAACCCTAAATTTATTGCTAATGCTTAGTTTGTTATTGTTGTTTTTTGCGGCTTCACTGTGAAAACATACCCCACTAAACATCCATACGCTATCCACAACCAACTCATTCAATTCAAGTGTGATGTTTCTCCAACCTAATCCATTTGGATGCCTATTTCTGCTCAACCAAACCGCTCACTTGCACGTAGATCAGAATGTATTGGGGATCCAAATCTATATATTGCCACTTGATCATAGCATTTATTATAACACCCCGAAAAGTCCTAATAGTCGTTAATCTTGAATTTGGGACCTTAGTGTAAGATGTTGAAAAGTGAGGGGACCAAATTTATGACTTTCCATAGTTGAAGGACCCAATGTGCACTTTTTTTTTTAATTTTAAATTTTGGTAAAGAGATCATCATGAAATTGTCATGTTTAGTCAAGGAAAAGATGATGGGATTGCCGTACTTAGATTATGGAAAGTAACTTAATTTCTACTTTAATTAAATATGATTGCATGGTTTGATATAAATTTTTGTAACCTAATCAATTGGTTAATTATTATAAATAGAGAAACTTTCATCTATTAAAAATTAGAAACATTATTTATGCATTTATAATTAGCAATCTCACATTTTTATATAGTATGATAGAATATTTAATTTGGCATAATTAAATCAAAATTTTCAATTATATGACAATAACTTATTAGTAGCAATTATATATTTATTAATATAGTTAATTGGGTAATTAGTTGAAT